TTCACGGTTTAGTTTAATTACATTGTTCAACCTAAATCAAACAAGTCAAAGTTGACTTTTTACGTGGGTTACGATTTCCTGAGGGAAAGTCAACACCAACATGTGGGATTTCATGGACTGTGATTAGAAGCATGATAAGAAACGTCATATAGAAAATATATTTACCTCAAAGCCTGTTTGACAGTTTGTCGTTTATTAGGCTGAACATGAATATAGGAACAAAAAAGTTGGCATGATACTCCGTATTCCCTTCTTCCTTTATATACTCCTATTTCATTGCTAACCATTAAGAGATGTTCCGGTTCAGTTTAGTTCTCACCCTTTGTGTTCCTCTCTCTAACTCTCTGCCTCATTTACTAAGATTTAGAATCCACATGGTGAAACGAGCCAAAGCTGCGTCAAGATTATGTTACACTGGCCTTTTGTATATTACCTCAGTCTGTGAAAAGGAAGCCTGTGCCTGTGCATGTCTTTGAAATGCGTGTATGTGTATGTTTTTGAGGCCTTGCGTCCTCCCTCATAGACAAGTCGGGATGACCGAGGGTCATTCCAACCTTTGCAACTCTTTATGTGCAGACGCTCCCTTCCTGTGATGGAAATTCCTCCTGTCAAAATAGAATGCTTCCAAACTATCGCCATAATTTGAGCTCCCTCTGTAACATCATCCTGCAGTTAGTGGATTATCACAGGTCTGATGAAGATAATTAATAAAGAAATAAAAAAGTACAAAGTGCTGTGTTAGTAAAACATTTATGTTAATTTCATTTTTCCAACCACACTTTTTTGTGTATTGTGTAAAAAAATAGTGATAATCTTTTAATATTTTAAAGAGGGTATGAGAGAGAGAGTCAAGGTTGTAGGCACGATAGGGACATGCCCTTTCCAATCTTTTGTGATTGCAGATTGTAGTACAGCATCGCCCCAACGTACGCCATATTTAAGGGGACTCTTTAACTTTGCTGAAAAGTCAAATTAGATTCAATTCGATTCATTTTATTTTCTATAGCCCAAAATCACAAATTACAAATTTGCCTGAGAGGGTAAAAAATGAAAAACCCTTGGGGAAAAAAGGGAGAACAATAGGGAGTTAATTAGGGAGAAATTCTATCATTTGGATGGGCCCTCCCAGACTAGTCCTTTACCTTTATAGATCGCATAACATGCCCCTGGGAGCTTGTGAAAAAAAACAATATTGAAATTATGTATGAGCTTATAACCAATTCACAGTATTGACCGTTTCAAAACAATGTATAAAAGAGATCCAAGGATGAAAACAAGAAAAAACTGTTTTTTCTTTCATGGGTAAAAATCTATCGCAGTGTTTCCATTCAATTGTCAAGCATTTCAATGAGCAAGGAAGGGGCTTGCCACATTTTACTTGATACAAGTTGCGTAAATTTCGCTCATTTTTCATTTTGTTGGGTAGGTTGTGGTGGATGAATGAGTAAAACTCTTTACCTTTGAAGACTGGCCTTTGAGTCGCATGGGATGCCTTCTTTTAATTCTAGTTAACTTATTATTTTCTTTCCTTTTTCTGATCCTTACAATTTTCAGTTGCACTCTGGTTACATCCAGGGAACAAAAGAAAAATCTGCATATGTGGACAACATATGCACATACAATCTTCAATGTGTGCCTGGGTTGGTTGCAAATAGCATATTTGGCTATGGACACTTTGGCCGCTGATTCTGCCGCTGTGGTACCCTGGTGTAAATGGCCACATTGGTTATTCCGCCCAGATGCAAATAGTTTTGTTGGCAGTTCCTCAGTTCCTTTTTGTCCTTTTATCCACAGTATATCGAAAGAGTAACATTTACCGTTAAGATCTGCGTGACAGCTGAACCGAACTCTGTTTTTATTGGAACTTCCCTGTCCTATAGCTCAGAACCGAGCAGCACACACACTGCACTTCCACTAATCATTTACCCGTTGCTCTGGAATGTGAGTTAGCTACTCATTGAAAAAAACACAAGGTTAATGAAACTGCTTTGGATAACGAGAATTCAAAAAAAGCAGCTTGTGTATGAAAGGGAAAGTAGAAAAAACGAGGCTCTTTCACAAAGATAAAACATTTCACTAGCTGATCTCAGCACTGCCTATTTTATCTGCAGCGGTTGTTTCGGGCTGAGTTCAGTGCACCGCTGTATTTTTAGCCGAGCTACAGCCGGTAATCATCTCGCTTCTCATGCAACTTTCTGGTCACCAAGTTCTTTTTCCGATAATTTCCACAGAAAACCAGACAAATGAGTCATTCAGTTTGGGTTTGGATTTCCATCTCTTTCTCTCTCTCTTTGCCCACTGGACTGGACTGGAAAATGAAAATGTGGAGAGAGAGAGAGATCGGTGGTTGGATGGCACACTGCCCAGTTCTGTTCTTAATCTGCCTCATGCTCCTCCTCCTCCTCCTCCTCCTTCTCCAGCATATGGCATTCTCTCCCACACTACTGTTTCACCACTTTTTTCTCGTATTACTGACTTTAAATTTCTTCCTTTAACATTCACATTCACTTTTAACCCTAACCCCTGACTTAAACCTCTCCACGGCCTTGGATCTCCACCTCTCCTACTCAAATAAATAGCTCAAAATACTAAGCAACAATTCTAGCAACTGTACAAAAAATTTAACAGTAAGTAAGTAAGTAGTTTAAGGGAAACTCTTTAGTATTTCTACTAATCTGTCTCGTCCTGTGATGTTGCGACAGGCCAAAGAAGTCATTTTGGTGAGTCAAGAGAATTAAGTTGACACCGTTGATTGGAACTCTTCCGGTGTTTATTCTGCCAATCAGACTGAATCTCCTGTAGCTTTATTTAGTCATTCATCTCTTCTTTCCCCCTCCACTGCCTCCATTTCTCTGTGCCAACTTTACCCTTATTTTATTCCGCCCTTCGGTTTGGGTGTCCACACGTCTCTCAAGCTTTTCCTCAGACACGCAAACACACAGACCACACCCGTCTCCATGCCCCACTGCTCCACCCCCACCCCCCTCTGCTCCCAGTGGGAGGAGGCCCAAGCGAGTTGGGAGCACTGGTCTGACTCATGGCTGACACACCTAACAGATGTCTGGAGTAGAGGGGAACAAAAGGAATGTGTCTTTATGTGCAACAGAGAGAGTGAGAGTTGATTCATGGTTTATGTATGCTCAGCCTGTAAAATGAAACGGTGGCCTGTGACTCAGTTTGGAATTAGCGCCTCCACTCCAGCTTAAACTCTACGGTCATGATAGCTGCTGACAAACCTTAAAGGCCTCCTTTCGTTAAACTTAGAGAAAAGGAAATGCATTTTAAAAAGGGGTGGTTTTGAGTTGAGGAATGCGCATGCAAGAGTTGGTACGTGGAGTTTTCTCGGGGGGATGGGCGCAACATTTATTTGAGAGTTTGCTGCAGAAGCTTAGGAAGGAACACATGGGCGGCGAGATTCATATGAAACCATGTCTAATTATAAGATCTCTGCCATTTGTCTAATGCTCTTTTCATGAGACCTTTTAATGATACTTGTCCATGTTCCAATTTTAGAGATTTTGTCAGCCATCTGTGTCTCGTCCACTGAAGACAAACACGGGACTTTCACCAGTAGGCTGCTGTTCTTGTCCTGTATGAAACCAAGTCAACATTGACTTTCATTTAGATGTTTATGGAACAAATTGACCTATTTTTATACAAAACACAAACATGTCTTTAGTATAGTGAAGTACAGTTCTTTTGCACAAAATAAGTAGACCTATGCTCTACTTTCTTTTTGAAAAGAGAAACTAAGAATGTCAAACTTTCACTTTGTTGCTGACAAGTCCAAAATTGGAGTGGTACCAAGAGCGCCCTAGCAGCCAGTTTTAATGGGGTGGTTTGATTATTTGGTGATTAATGGCAAAGCAAAGCGAATCCTCAGAGAGGCCCCCTCTCTCCATTTAGGGAGAAAGGTGTTGTTGAGAAAGTTCTCTGTGGGGCCTGAGGAATCACAGGCACTAAACAGAGACAGGCACTGGGGTCCTCTCTGTCACCTCATCTATCTCCCTTTGCTTCTACTCTTTCTCTGGAAGTCCCTCTCTCTCTGGTCTCTTCCGCCCAGCGTCTTTGTGGCCGAAGGGGGGACACAACCAAAGTATAACAAAGACTCTGAGTGTTAGAGAAGACAGCTTTACGATTTCAACCTCAATAACTTAGAGCAAGATGGGCATGGCTACAAAGACACACACACACACACACACACACACATCAGCCGTTGAGAAACTGATGCAAATTAGGCAACTTTTACTAGTTGTCAGATGCATTTGGGAAACCAGTCTTTAAGCCAATTTCGAAGAATGATTAATCGCTCTCTCTGTGGATGTTGCAATTAAATCTTTCCAAACTAAAAAATGACATTGTTATGATGAATAGTGGATTGATTGAGTAAAACTGTCCAAAAATGTCACAGCCAATTACCAAAATCTGTTGCTCTCCACAACATGTGATTAAGTTATGCAGCTATTCATCCAAGTCCAAAAGGGGTTGTATCGCACAGGAACCAGACTGACTAATGGAAATGTAAATAAACAGAAAGCAGAGACACAGGACTGCCTGAACAAGGCATGGGAATAGGGGCCTTTTGCTTTCTACAGGACGGGGCTGAAGAACTGTAGGTCACAATGTGAAATTCTCAGATGCTGGAAGAATTTCCCGCACACACAGCAGCTTGGGTGTGTTTGAGTGGGGGGGTTTATGTCAGGAGGTCGGACAGTTATCAGTGTTTATGCATCTGGTAGGGAAGTCAATGAACTGTAAGGATTTTTTAGTCTAAATGCTAAGCTAATTTAACTGCCGGCTATTGCTTCATATCTAACATTCAGAGATAAAAGAGGTTTTAATGTTAAAATCCAACTCTCGACAAAAAAGCAAATGAAAAATATGAGCCATCACATCCACGTCCATCCATCCATCCATTATATGTAATGATTGTCTATTTAATGCTTAAAAAACAGTCAGGGTGAATATTACTTTTTGTTTTGTTTATTTTTTTTTTCTAAGTGGTCTTCTGCAAATCAGTTGTTACAGAGAAACAATTTCCTCTTTGCTCTCTGACACCACTACGCCATTCACCAGAGTCTGAGTGACCGTCAGCACTTTGGTCTGCATCGTCTTTGGATCAACTGCCTGCTGTAGACTGTGAACAAAACAGCAAAATCAATCCAAAGTTGTTTATCAGTAAAAAACATAGTTCTTGTAATTATATTATTCATGACACTATTTTGGCATTAAATATATACCTTCTCTTTAATGTATCTGATATATCCAGATGAAATTTAGCATTTGAAATTAGAGGCATGGCTCTAATGAATGCGTCTGATGAACTGCTAATTTGCATATGAGAGTTGCTTTGCGTTTGCACAAAGTTAATTTGAATATATATTTGCCTCCGTGAGATGACATAAAATGTAATATCTGTCAACCCAGGAAGCAGAGCAATGCATGTTTGGCTGTCAGCAAAGATGTGAACAAGCGTTTATCCTCCTCATACTCACGTAAAGTCTGGCTCGCCGTCCAGCAGCCTCCTGTACTCAGCGATCTCGGCCTCCAGTTTCACCTTGATGTCGAGCAGGCTCTCGTAATCCTGTGTGCTGTGCTGGATGTCGGTGCGGATGCGAGTGAGCTCCTCCTGCAGCCTCAGGAGGATCACGTTGTACTTCTCCATCTCTGTGTTGTGGCGCATTTCAATGTCGTGCATTGTTCCCTTCAGCGATGCTTGCTGTCAAGAGGCAAAGAGGTAGTGCAGTAGGGAAAGAGACAGACTTGAGAGTTGTTTGAAAACATTGATACATGTCACGTCTGTGACTCATCACTGGGCACAAATGTTCTTACCATACTAAGCTCGGCCTGTTTTTCAATGTCCAGTGCTTGACACTTCCTCTTAGTATCTGACAACATAGTGTTGGCTTCCTTCAGAGCCGTTGAACTCTCAGTCACTTGGACCTGCATTTCCGTGACCTGGACAGAAGATAAAATACTAATAGTATATAGGATAGGTACTTGACAAAAGTAGTTTGTTAACCCCAAAATCTTGGCATTGACAAATTACCTGAGAATCATGCCATTTTTTGAGCTCCTCCTGGTTGTTCAGGGCTATCTTCTCATACTTGGCCCTCATCTCCTCCATGATCTTGGCCAGGTCCTGTCCTTTAGGAGCGTCAACATCCACATGGACGCCGACCTTGGTGATCTGGGAATGCAATTCCTCAACTTCCTGTTGAGGGGGGAAATAGTCAGGGAGTGATTTCCTGAAAAGGCCTTGAGGGTTATTCATTGCAAGGAGCTTAATGCATTATGCAGTGGTCGGCTACACAAATCATCTTTGACCAGTGTCCCTCACCATCTCGTGGTTCTTCGTCAGGATGATCAACTCTTCCTTCAGAGACTCAATGTCGCTCTCCAAGTTCAGGCGAATAACATTAGTGTCGTCAAGAATCTTCCTCAGTCTGGCCACATCGGCCTCCACTGTCTGACGCATGGACATCTCGAACTCCGATCTGACAAATCAAGCCGCACATCAGATGCGTTCATGCTGGATGGAAAGATTGTTTGATTTTGGATAAAAAACTCACCTCATTCTGAAGTCATCGGAAGCAAGCCTTGCGTTGTCCATCGAAATAGAAAGATAGGTATTGCTTGTGATCACGTCAGATATCTGGAAGAAATTCAATTGTTTGGAAAAGAAAAATTGCGGTGACACACTCTCCTCCCACAAGTCTTTTTAATGGGCCCGTGAACCGTAACTTTAATAATATTCACAATTAAATATCTTCCTTTGACAGCGTGCTGTAAAATCATAAAACAAAGGGGGTCATCGCTCATAGCTCGATCACAGAGGTGAAGATTGGGCCTTGATATAATAAATGTTGCAAAACAAGTCAGAGAGATCCATAAACTCTCATTGACCAACCCATTGTGTATAATACTAAAACATTTCCTGAAGGTGAAGTGGATTTTGCTCCAACTTCATTTCACCATTTTGAGGAAGTAAGTGGACATGGCATTTAAATCTTGATCAACTAAAAGTTTCAGTACTATAAAATACATTTTGGAGATCAATATGTGAACCTTTTCTGTCACTTTGAGAGCTTGCCTTTGTCCGTAAATGCAGAACACCTAAAGAGACCCAGATTTGTCTCTGACAACTATGTGGTTAGGTAGAATACAAAGAAACCCTTTTGCTTTTAATTAATGATTCGAAACGGGTGTCATTAAATATTTACTGATTGACTCACCTTGGCCCTCAGCTCCGTGATGGTTGCGTTGTACTTACTAAAGTCCTTCCCATCTAAGTGGCCTCTCTTCTCTATGGTCTCCCTGATCTTGATCTCCAGACTGCTATTGGCTTTCTCCAGACTCCTCACCGTCTCCAGGTAGCTGCCCAGCCGGTTGTTCAGGTGCTGCATGGTGGCCTTCTCGTTTGTGATGACCGGGGACCCAGAGGACATGCCGTGGTAGTCATAGCCCCTCCTGAAGCCGCTGCCAACCTGTGTGCCGTACGCAGTGGAGATCTTGATCCCACGGCCACCTGCCCCTCCGCTGACACTGTAGGCGTAGGGCTTGTTCATCTCTAGGGGTTTGATAATGTTTGCCGATTTGGTATTAATCAGTTGTCCGTACTCCATTGTTAAAAGAAGAGTGCTGATCAATCAAAGGGAGAAGCTGTCTGTCTTTGTGCAAAGGCTGAAAGGATGATGGCAAGGCTGCAGGTCTTATATATACAATATTTTGTCCTGCCCCTCCTCTCTTATCTATATTACAGTTGTACCTTAGCCATCTTAGACTTTGCCCCTAAAACACCCATTATAAACTGACTTTCATATTCATTTTTGAGTTTCTGATTATCAGCCAGTTCTATGAAATTGTTGACCATAAGTGCAATAGAACTGCACCGGCATGATTTAACTGACTTGGAACACACTTTCTGGAAAGAGTAACAGCAATAATAAATAAGGCCTACAAAATGTGTGTGCAGCGATTTATGATAGAATGAGAATGTATAGCACAATCCTTTAAAGTTGTTAAGGCAACATCGTTTCATCCTTCATCTCTACATCTTTACTTTCAAACAACAACATCACGTTCACACATCTTGAGATTCTATTTCTCAAATGGATTTTATTGATATGTAGGAACGTCACAGTGTAACAGGCAGACTTAACTGGAAAGAAAGAAAACCAAAGATGATGACATGTAAAGCACGTTTTGGATTAATTTGCTTTTTTATTACTTTTGAATATAACACTGCGATTAGTTTTGCTCTGGGAGAAAGAAAAAAAATCACAGTTCCCCGATATTTAGCGTTTGTTAAGCATCTGCGGGTGAGTACATAAACTAATAAATACATCATGATGAAATAAATAAAAGATGATGCAGTTTTCTTCCGATCCAGTTTTATTTCATCGGCCTGTGGAACAGCTGTAAGCTCATGAAGTTGAAAGAAATTGAAGCAGCGGTTAGTGCTCTGAGACTACGAAGAAAGGAGATCAATGCCAGCCAATCGTATGTTGGTGTCAGGATGCGGTGACGGTGATCGATGCTTCCGGGATTCAGAGATTCTTGGTTTCTGTGCTGGAGGACACCACCTTGCCGTCAACCACGGTCTGCGTGACGGTCATCACTTTGGTCTTCACTGTCTTCTGGTTCTCCAGAGCGTCTTGGAGCCTGAACGGAAAACATCGAGAACAAAATTGTCAGGTGGTTTCTTTAGACAGATTCATTCATTCTTTGGTCACATTAGTTTGACAACTCATGTCATCAACATTTTCATTCATCTACGTACGAGAAGTCTTCCCCGTCCAGCAGCCGCCTGTATTGGGCGATCTCAGCCTCCAGCTTCATCTTGAGGTTGAGCAGGCTCTGGTACTCCTGCGTCTGCTGCTGGATGCTGTTGCGCAGCTGTGTGAGCTCGGCCTCCAGACCCAGGAGAATGGTGTTGAGTGCCTCGATCTCCATGTTATAACGCATCTCTGTGTCCCTCAGCGTGCCCTCCAGGGAGGATTTCTGCCAGAATGAGCAAGGGGAAAGGAGAGTAGGCATCAAAGGGATTCACAGTGAACGTGGCTCGCTGAAGACAGCTTCATAGTGAGGGGTCACTAGAGTGTGAAGCGTGTGACAACATAGTTGTTTCGAGAGCCTTGAAGTGAGAGTGCTGAGTAGGCCGTGGCTGCGTTCTTTGGGGTAAATGAAGTGTGCGCTGACTGAGTTCTGCTCACCATGCTCCTCTGTGATTCCAGCTCGATCTCCATGGTTTGAAGCTGTCTGCGCAGGTCATTCACCTCTGTCTGGGCTCCCTTCAGAGCCTCTGTGTTCTGGCTGACTTGGGTCTGAACTTCCGTTATCTGAAATAAGGGTTGAGTAAAGAAATAGGTAAATTTTAAAAACACAAACTGGAACTTTGCACACGATAGTTCCCTTGTCAATTGTTTACCTGAGATTCATGCCATGTTTTCAGTTCTTCCTGGTTCTGCAGAGCCGTCTTCTCGTACTTGGCCCTTATGTCATTCATGATCTGAGCCAGGTCGTGTCCTTTAGGGGCATCGACATCCACGTGGACTCCTGACTGGGCGATCTGGTTACGAAGCTCCATTACTTCCTACAAAAATAAACATGGATAGAGGGGTTCATGGACAAAAATCCCAAATGATGTACACTCCATCTATTTCAGTGGTGCTAGCTGAAGTCATGATGCTCGATTAAAGGAAGCAAAATGATGTGGTATAAAACCAATTTAGAAGTTACCTCTTACGTGAAAATCACAACATCAACGCAAAGTGTTTAAAACACGTATATAACGTAGCTTATTTAACTATGTCAGATCACATATTCAACATAACTTATGTTACATAGCTTATGTAATGTTATCTTGTCATGTATATAGCATAGCCTATTTAACTATCCAACATGTGTCACTTCATGCCACTCTGTTAATTATGTAATTTAGCCTATTTAACGTTACTATGCCACTTACATGACCATGTCCATTTTATCACGCTATGTATATAACGTAGCGTAACTCCATCGTATATGTAACGTAGTCTAAATAATATATAAATAATAATAATGTACTTATGTTATTTGAACTCTGTGGTGTTCTCTCCATTGTCTATATTACATAGCATAACTCCATCCCTCTTCCCACTGTTGTTTACTGTTGTTTAGCTTCAAGTGTGCCCTGCAACTGGTTTAGGACTTGTTGGGTTCAAACAGTAATGATGTCGGTCAGGATTAGGGAGAGGCGAGCAAATATTTAGTCAAGGTGAAAGGTGTGGCTGCTTCCTCAAATGATGTCCGGAGGTCTTTTAAATGGGGCTTCTGAAAAGACTTGGCCATACTAAGGGTTGAATAATAAGTCCTGCATACCCTTGCTACTTACCAAAGATGACCAACCCTATCTCTAAAGTTGCGCCTCATTTGGTAGTCAGATGGTTTTTCCCATGATACTCACATTTTCATGGTTCTTCTTGAGGTGGATGAGCTCCTCCTTCAGGGTCTCGATCTCGCTCTCCAGGTTCAAGCGGCTCATGTTGGTGTCGTCGATAAGCTTCCTCAGACCGACGATGTCAGCCTCCACCGACTGGCGGATGGCCAGCTCGGACTCAAATCTATGGCAGGGCGGTGAGGGCACGGTCAAAGCCTGGTACACTCTCTGACTGAATAACCTCATGACCAAAGCTACTGAATGTACCCACAGCTGGGATCTATCCTGGTTTAAATATATGTGGTACCTATTTGCCCAGCATACAATATCTAGCCCAGCTGTGTTTGCTGTGACATTTAATTGACAAAACAACAGAAAGGGCTCCACCAACAGCGATACCAAGGTGATGAAATGCGATCACGACGCTGCGCATTCATGTTACCCGCAGCTGTGTGTTTTCGGGCTTTACAGTCGCCGGGTGGAACTTACTTCACCCTGAAGTCATCGGCCGCCAGGCGAGCGTTGTCGATGTTGAGAATCAGGCGGGCGTTGTCAGTGGTGGCGTCAAACACCTGGGACATGGTGGACAAAAGAGGAGGGATATCAGGTTTGCAAACATTAAAGACAAAAAAAGCATTTTAAGTATGTGACCTGACAAACAAATACAAAGTAACCAAAAAAAAAAAAAAAAAAGTATTTTTTCACAAACTGGCTTTAATGTGACCTGCCATTTTACTGTTCATTTGTCGTTATAGTTTATTCATTATTTACTCATATGAATTTTAATTCAGAGCTGTTTTTTCATCCTATCAATTAGTTGTAGTGTTTGGTCTTTATTACTGTTTCCTCCCTTGGGGTTCACCTTAGTTTGTCTTGCTTGATTGGACTTTTTTGAGCTTTTCCTTTATCAAAGACCTTTGTCAAAGAACTTTGTTAACTGTTTTTGTAAACAAAGTTGATATTATTACTTTGTTCACTGTCTCTATTGATATGAGTGTATAGATTTAGCCTGAGATGAAAGAGTGCCAAAGTCTGATCAAATGAGGAAAGAACAGATGGTGTGAGTATTTGCTTTAGCTGTCACAGTACGGTAGATAAGGTGAACTGACGTCATCCAGGTGACAAAGTCCACTAGCCAATCAATGGCTTCCAGGCAGCAACTGTCTCTGCCAGGGGAACCGGATCTTGTCTACAGGCCTGAGGCAGGTGATTTGCATGAGCTTGGTGATGGCAGTTGTGTGTGTGCGCCCGTGTGTGATCATGTGAAAGCCTGTGTGTGTTTGTATTTGCATTGCAAGTTGAGTTTGTGTATTTTCAAATATGGACTGAGGATCCCCATTTGAGGGATTTTTGTATCTGGCCAAAAAAGATGACGTTTTGGATTAATTTGAAAAGACCTTCTTCCCATTTTGTCTCTGTCATTATTTTCTGAAGGGCTGGTTTGACGTTGACTAAATGTTCATCCACAAGGAAAAAGTTTTTAGGGGTTGCTCCATTGGGCACAACTGGAATATTTCATTTCAAAACTGCACTTAATAAATAGCTCCAGCAGGACACGTGTCACATAGTTCTTGTTCCGTCAATCCCATCTTTTGAGTGAATAACTAACTCACTGTCCTTACTTTCAGTTAAAAAAAACCTTTGTGCCTATTTGGGCCGCGACAGGTAAGTGTGAAGTTAATGATATTATCAGATGAATTGCTCACAAAACAAATATGAAACAAAGAACAACTCCCACATGGACAATTCCATTTGGGTTAAGTGACTTTTCCTTCCTCCCTTCCCTTATCACCTTCTATTGAATGTATACACAGTAGCAGTGACTGTCTTCAACGCCATTGTCCAACCAACAATACACCAGGGTTTGTGTTGCACTAAACAAAGCGGAAACAGGGCGTTGAAAGTCATGATAAATGAGGGGCCCCTTTAAGTCCCTGAACTCTGTTGTATTTCTCACTGCTTTCCTGTTTGTCTGAACGCCCCCCCACCCCCAACCCATCCCTCTGATGTTCCAACATTCCTGCACCATACTGTTTCCGGTCCCACCCTACGCCCCTTGATCCTGCCGGCCACCCGGAGTAGCCAGGCACTGTGCCAAGCAGTACTGTTGGTGCGGGTCGGTGGGAACAGAACCGTGGTAAACATTGTCATGACACGTTTATGCTCAACCCTACTTACATCACATCCTTTCACGTTTCATTCATTAAAATGCCCCCCTCTGTTTGATACTTAACAAATCTACAGATGCCCGTGGCCCGCCGTCTGCTCCCCCAGCGCCCCTCACCTTCTTCCTCAGGTCGTCCAGGATGACCTGGTACTTGCTGTAGTCCCGGAAGTCGGGCCCGCTCTTCTCCAGGGCCTCCTTGATCTTGATCTCCAGCTTGTGGTTGGCCTGCTCCAGGCTCCTCACCGTCTCCAGGTAGGAAGCCAGCCGGTCGTTCAGGTTCTGCATGGCAAACTTCTCGTTGCCCATGATGTCGCCGCTGTTCCCGCTCACCTGCATGCTGCTGGAGAAGCCCCCGGCCCCGGAGCCCGCCGACCCCATGCCGGCCCCCAGCCCGCTGCGGACGGTGGAGGAGATGCTAATGCGAGACCCGCCGGCCCCACCGTGGATGCTGGAGGCCCTGTAGACGGGGGCAGAGGTGCGCTGGAAGGACATGGCGGGAGCATTGCTGCCGGCGGAGGAGCGCACGGAGTATGTGCTTTGCCTGGAGGTTTTCATTGTGGCTGCAGAGTGTGGACTCAGAGAGAGGCTGTGAGTGAGAGAGGGAACGAGAGCTGCTGGACAGGCAGAGACGGAGGCTCACAGACAGAAGGCTGGAGGAGAGTGAAAGCCGTTACACTATTTAAACCTTTTGGGCCCTCAGGTCCGCCCCTACGAACACTCCCCCTCACCCTGAGTCACCTCCCTTTTTTCCACCGGCCTTAACCGCGAAACTGCTCATAGCATGCCTTTGTCCTTCACAGGCTTATAGGAGCCCAATTCTGAGCACTCAACTTAAAGACGAGAACATTAAAAAAGAAAATGACCAATAGTGAGGATTACTAAGATTTTACTAATCTGAACGTAAAGTCAAAAAACACAATTTAATCTATTTCAGCAATTCCCCAAAGATGGTGAAAAAACCCAATAGATTTTCTCTGAGTTTTTTGACAGGTTTTTGAGTGACAATGAAGCGTTAGTTATATTAGGACACAATTAACAATTCATTTTCAGTTTTAGTCCCTTTTAGAGGAACGACTTTCGATAAAAAGATGAGGAACAGCAGCCACAATCTTCAGATGATGAGACCTGGGTATGAAGCTATACCGGGGAGGAATTTGTTACATATGTGCAAGGTATCGCAATCAAATATTTCAAATTGTGTCACCCACATTAGACTCATCGACTCATTGGCTTTACAATAATTACTTCTCGAGAATGTTTTGCAATCGGCTCAGTATTCAGCCGCAAAGGGTTTCATCACCGTCTTAAGTCACTCTGGGAAGGTGAGATCAGTTCATGTCACACCTGGGAGAGTGAGACGACTCCTAAGACTTATACAGTAAGTGCGTGAAGTTTTTCAGGAAAAAACATTTGTTGAACAAATTGTGGGAATGGAAACGACTCGCTTTTAATGCTTTTAATGGCTTATCTCAGTATCTAGAAGTCACGCATGAAGCAAACAGCAATACACTACGACTGTTTTGTTTTTGTTTCTTTGACTGTGTGGTCTGTCTAGTAATGAATGGAAAACTAGTGTCTTCAAACTGAAGGAAAAGTATACAGGACTAAATATCTATAATAGCATGTATTGTATTTCAAAAAAAGGTTCAGCCAACATGCATAGAACATGAATTGTAGAAGACAGGACACAAAGGTTTGGTCCCTTTAGAGCATTGACGTGTGATAAACCTGGAGATAAATCAGATAAAGTTCTCCAAGGTGTTAGGTGGCTGCAGATGTTATGTGACGAACAGTATGTTGTCTATCTAGCCGGACATGTGGCTGATCCGTCCCCTTCCCATAAAGGATATGGTTTGAACAAAGGAACAATTCCAGTCTCCTCAGTAGGTACGTCAGAACAATAACTTTTCTTTACGGGTAAACATAATCTGGAAGCCCCCCTGTTGGTTTTTAAGACAAGCGCATTCCACACACATGGTACTTCTACTTATTAACGGCTGTACCAGGACAGAAATTGCCTTTTTCTTTTGGTTTCTAGTTTCATGTTAACTTTTGTTGCTCGTTTAAAGTCGAGTAAAAGAAAAAGCATGAAAGCTGTCTATGACCAACACCTGAATTTAGTCTTTTCCAGGGTTCAAACTATAAACAACAATTATTTGGATATCCTATTTTGTCTGCTTGCCCACAGTCGTCTGCATCTTCTTGCTTAACATGTTCTGTGTTTGTCTGCGGTCGTGTTCGGTCTCATCTTGTCTCCTCAACTCCTCTGTTTGTTTTTTAGGAAGGAACACGCAGCAGGATATTAAAGTATAAAGAGCTCCTGATGAAAAAACAACATTTGTACTCCCATGGAGCAGGCGAACAAAAGGGATTCCTGTAAATCATGACAGGGACTTTAAAAGAGATAAAACATCTGTTATAATAACATTGGTAAAAATGTAAACTATTAAAAGTTATCTGTGTTTATCCAAACACAGAAAAACAGTGGCGGTTAGAGGGGGTCTTTTCTTTGGTTTGTCTAGCGTTGACAAGGATGACTCCAGTGTTTTGTCTGGTCTCGATGGCTGCCACGCCCGGCACAGAAAACAAAGATTAAGGTACTGTGATGATGGCCCCTATAGAGCAGATAAAGGTGCTGGGTTTCAGAGTCGATAATAAGATAAATGATGGGGATTGCCGCAGGGTTCAGTATCAGGGCTTTTCCCAACAACAAAAGGTTTAAATTATTTATCTGCCATTTAGTTTAACTGGGTTGGGAAAGAATCAAATCGCTCCCATATCTCCTCCCATAAACTACCCTGGTGTCCCTTATAGTAACAGACAATGTTGTCACAGTGAGGTTGCCAGGTATCGTTTCATCATGTCGGTAAAGAGTCCTATACTTAAATATGTGCTCATCAAATTAATCTGGAAACCAGTTGTTTATTAAGTAATCTATCTCTTGGAGAAATAGAGGAAAAGAGTATTTCATATAGAAATAACTCTGAAACTGTATTTCACCAAACCCATTTGTTTAAGGGGCTTGCTTTTGTTCCACCAGGTCTAATGACAACATGAACACCTTTCATTCGGGTATCTGAAATAAAGTAATGATTTTCCTCTTTGTTTCATCTTGCCGGACTTAACTGTTATTGCATGTCAGATGTCGGTAAAACATGAATTATTTTACACTAGCTCTAGATTAGACTTTAAACTCCATTTTTATGTGAAATAAAAATTAATATGAAAGCGATGAATGTTGTTGCAAATGTCCAACTTAAAAGTTTGATGTGTTATGCCATTTGCCACAAGTTTATGCAAGTAGTAACGCCACCTAAGACTTATGACAGAGGTTGAGACCCATTATCAAGAATTTTCTACCGTCATGACCGTGATAGTCATCACCCACTGGGAATAGTTCCCCTCCCAACTTCACTTTAATCTCCCCTCCTTCCAACACAGTTTGTTCCCCTACATATAAACAATTTATGGAGTGCTGCACATTTCTTTTAAGTGTTTTATAGTTCTAATTATGTTGGATTGATTCATTATTAATGTAAGAAATGAAAAAAAGATATGCTATAAAAAACCACCCTAAACTTTTGTATGTTTTTTTCTCTAACTGTCTTGTGTTTTTTCTAACTGTCAGCAGTCCACCATCATTTATTTTCTCAGCTGTCTTCCCTTCAGGATTCATTTCTCTTTGATGAACAGCAGAAAACATAGTGTGCAGCAGAAAACCACTTTCAGGTGTGCCATTCGATCTTATCTAGAAAAAATTGAAGCTTTGGTCTTAAAAGTTGTGCAGATCAAGGCCAGGTGGTTGCGTTGAAAACCAGTGCTTGTTCTGTGTACATATATGTGGATATTCATATTAACTAGACCTTTCACAACCTTAATATACGTGCCAGCGTTAGATGTGGGAGTGGCAGTGCTTACCCATGTTCACCTCACCCCTCCGCCCCTATCAACCTTGTGCAATAATGCCATTGACGCGGAATCTGGGAAGTCACAAGACAGTTACACCTGCAGTGCGACAAATGCTCTGCCAGGCCATGCTCTCACTTTTGCTCGATATGTGGGCGGGTGAAAGAGCCAAAAGTGTTCGTCTATATATGGTATTTATAATGTCCGTGTGAAAGCCACCTCCATTTATCACTGTTTGGACAGTGCTGTGTTTGGTTACAAGGGTTATGTTTGTTGTTAATGCTGAGATAACATACTCGTGAGTTTGACTCATGATCATCTGATTTTGTGTTGTAACTCTTTAAGGGGGGGGGGGGGGGGGGGATAACTTACAGCGGCTCGAGTGGCTCACACAAACTGTTGGCTTTTGTTCAGCTTGACCATCGTTGCTCAGTTCTGGGCTCAGAGAGCAGAACACCCCCCGAAATTCCCAAATCCCGCCCTGCCACGAGGAGAAGAAGTCTCATTTTATGGGCCTCCGCAAGAGATTGTCCACTAACTCGACCTCACGTCCGATATCGATGGAGTATTTATCACTCCGTTCGCCAGAAGGGACCAAAATACTACAGATCATTTCAGTGGAACTCCCAATAAAACCTACTGACACAAAGGCCTCCATTCCCAACTTACTCACTGCCTTAATGTGACTGTAAATATATCATCTGACAGGTTGGTCTCTGTGTTACACCACTGACTGAAAGTGTGAACACGCGTCAAACTCAGTATATCATTGTGCGATAGTAACATCGTAAGGAAGCTGGTGGATGGAAAACACTTGCGTGCAGACATTTCAAAGGTGTTTGGAACATTCCAACCAGGTGGAGGGGGCCACCACAGACAATGCTGAATCACTGGTCTGATACGAGACAGAACTGGTGTCGGGAAATGTTTGTGTTCCTGTTGTGTGTGCGTGAGAAAATGACTCCAGATGGTGTGTTCCTTTCTATGCCTATAGAACCCAAACAATGCGCGCTGCTCAGAATTAAAGGAATGAATGCTGCTCGGTTCCAAGATTCCAGACAAGTAATTATTCTGCAGGTAAGAAGGGCGTGGTAGGCTTGATGGATTCCTGAATAGGTCTTGTGGTGCAGGTCCAGGACCCTGAACCAATCCTCTATAAAAAAAAAGATTGTATTTATTGTTGGACTTTCAATGAAACGTAAACAATATAAGCACAAATACAGATACGGAAAAAAAACAACCACAAATTGACCCAACCCAAGAAAAAGTGGTGTGGAGAATGAAAATAGATACGTGTTACGTTGTGCTAAAAGACTGCGTTTAATATAAGAAAATGAATTAGATCATAAAAAGACTGAAGGCTAGGATTCTTGACTTGGCTTGGAACAGGATACTCTGTCAAGAAAACCATTAAGAAAATGAATCTGCTGCCTTTTTCTGGGCGAATGAAGAGGAAACGCTCTGCAACTGACATCCTGTCACAGAGAGTCCCATGACCTGCCTACCTGTGCTCACAGACACGAAGAGGCAAGGGACGCGCTGCATGCAGGTACATTTCAACGGCTCGGTCATTTCGCGGCTCGGTCATGCTTTAGTGTCTGCATGTATGGAAAAAAAAACAAATATGTCATCCATGAACGTTTTTCAGAAACCCTTAGTAAGGACACTGTGCTAAGTGTTTTATTGAAAACAATTCCTTGTTATGTTGATTCAACATTTCTTTTAAATGCCTCATGTTTTACTGACCTATTGACAAC